TTTTTTTAATCACTTCTCCCATCACAAGGACTATGTAGGCTGCGTGAAGGCCTGAAGGTGCTCCCTTTTCCTCATTACCACAACGGGCACTTAGAATTTATGGGTCCTGGGGAATGGATGGTTGTCTACCCATGTCAAAAAGCTTTCTTCAATTAGAGGTTATTCACTGGCACGTGGATTAATTAATAATGAACACTGGATAGAGCTTATTGGTAAAATGTTTTCTTCAGTACCTTTATAGAGGCCACGCTCTCCTCTCTCTGGGGAAAACGCTTCGTCATTGTAATTTTTAGGAAACTAATCATGTCATCTTTATCATTGCGCTTCTGATCGGTAATGGCCCTGCAGAATTCATGATACAGCTCTAAAAAAAAGGCTTGGAGCATCAGCTAATAGTCATGCAAGGCTCTTTCCTTTTGTATCTGAGGAGAACCACTGGAAAATCTGGCTCTTAGGATGCTCTGTGTGGCAGTTTTGCAAAAGTTTTGGGTAGAGACTTACTGCCTTACCGCTATTCAAACAGATTCTACATAATCAAATATACACATTTGCAAGGGAGATTGAATTACTTAGCATACATTTGCTGCCTACCATGGTGTTTCTTTGGGATGGATACATATGCAATAGATTAAGTAACTAGAATTCATATTTTCTGTCTGTTTGTCATTCCAATACGCTTAATTAATCATGTATTCCAATCAAATGTAAAATACAGAACTAAAAACTATGATCTAGATTGTTAGTGCACAGTTCAACTGCCCTTTCTGCTTTCTCTAACTGGTCCAAAGAAAATATTTGCATATTTGTGACCTTCCACTCAATGCCAAAAATATGAATTTTTGCTTTGAAAACAGAACATCAGACATGTTCCCATTCTTTTGTAATCTTATAAATTTCTCAAGTCCCAGCTAGTTATCAGCATCTAGCTGACTTGGCTCTCTGCCAAAAGCTAATCCTTGAAGGATGGGAGACCACAAGAAAATTGTCAGGTTAAAAACCAAAGCAAGCAGTGGCAAAATGACTTCTGTAAGGCTGCCCAAAGACCTTTACAGCTGCTGCCCATAGTCATCTTGATTAGAACTCAAAACTAAACTTGTCTCTTCAAACAAAGCTCTATATTTGTTCTTTGTTCTCCTTCTATATTATTTCATTGTTCTCTTCAGGCAAGGATGAAAGAGGTGAAAAACTGCATTGATGCCACAACGTATTTCATTTGTAAAACAATGAATGTTTTTGGCTTTTTTTTCCCCTTTTACATCTGAGAATCTGCCTTTCCAACTGATAAATACTGCTACAGTATGTATAAGAATAATTAGAACCTTACAAAACTGAGCAGAGCCCACATTTGGTTCCTTTTTTTTCTTCTCTCACTTTCCAACTCTTCCATTTCCCTTTTTTGTTGCAACAGGAAAATTGAGGCCTACAGGGGTGTGCAGAAAGTCAACGTGATGGTGTGACCGGAAGCTCCACCCAGTTTTTATGGGCGTTGTGGCTGCCATCTTACTTTTCTGAACCCTACTCTTCGGACAGCCCTGAAGACACCTCAAACTCCAGCCCATGGATTGATCAAGGGTTGTCAAGCAGGGATCCACATTTTCTTGTATTTCTACTGTTTTCTATATTCTTTTAAAATGTTATCATCATCACTGTCAAGATGAAGGCCATGAATGTTCTATGGAAGTTGTGTCCCCCTTTAAACTGAAGGAACAGAGGTTTAATTCTAGATCTGCAGGGCCAGTTTATGGCTCTTCCAGTTTAAGCTCCTGAGTTAAATCCATGGCTCTTGGAGCAGTTACACAGTTTATGCCTACTAGTTACACAGTTATGCCTACTAGTTTGATTTTGTTTTTTTACACCCCACCCCGCCCTCATTTTAATCCCAAAGGCCACCTAGGGTAGATGGCTCTGATGCCCTCAGCTTCATTAATGCTGACTACTGGATGAATTTCCAAGTGCAGATAATTTTCTCCCCAAACCATGGGATTTGAGGGGGGTGGGTGGGTTAATGTTGTCCAACTGATGCATGTCCAGAGCCTGAAGAAAAACTCAAGTAATGGTTGCTGGTATTACTCTAAAGTGGCTACCTGGGATTCTTCTGCTTGAGGCCTGCCCATTGCAGGGCAAGCCCCTTCATCTTCTGACCAAACCACCCTTGAAAAGCAACAGCTCATGTTGGATGGAGACTCCAGAGGCAGCAGGACATTTACCCCTTACGGGCAGAACCATGCTGGAGTAAGATATGGATCCCCCAATGATCTTGATTCCTGACCTTGGATCTCTGCACACTTTTCCCTTTGGGCCATGCTGCTTGCTTGCCTTCAGTGATCAACTAGCTTCCCTCCTGCTCAGAGTTGGGTGGGTGGGTGGGNTTTTTAAGAAGAGACTGGACAGCCGTTTGTCTGAAATGGTGTAGGGTTCCTGCCTGGGCAGGGGGTTGGACTCGATGACCTCCAAGGTCCCTTCCAACTTTATTATTATTATTATTATTATTATTATTATTATTATTATTATTATTATTATTATTATTATTATTATTATTATTATTATTATTATTATTATTATTATTCAAACAGATTCTGTAAGGGCTAGATTAGACCTGCCCTTTAGTGTGTGTGGATATTTTCGTCTTCTTCCACATTCATACTGCAAGCCCCGAACCCTTTTCTACAAAATCAAATACAGTACACACATTTGCAAGGGAGATCGAATTACTTAGCATACATTTGCTGCCTCCCATGGCGTTTCTTTGGGATGGATACGTATGCAATAGATTAAGTAACTAGAATTCATATTTTCTGTCTGTTTGTCATTCCAATATGCTTAATTAATCATGTATTCCAATCAAATGTAAAATACGGAACTAAAAACTATTATCTAGATTGTTAGTGCACAGTTCAACTGCCCTTTCTGCTTTCTCTAACTGGTCCAAAGAAAATATTTGCATATTTGTGACCTTCCACTCAATGCCAAAAATATGAATTTTTGCTTTGAAAACAGAACGTCAGACATGTTCCCATTCTTTTGTAATCTTATTAATTTCTCAAGTCCCAGATAGTTATCAGCATCTAGCTGACTTGGCTCTCTGCCAAAAGCTAATCCTTGAAGGATGGGAGACCACAAGAAAATCCCAAATTGTTAGGTTAAAAACCAAAGCAAGCAGTGGCAAAACAACTTCTGTAGGGCTGCTCAAAGACCTTTACAGCTGCCGCCCATAGTCATCTTGATTAGAACTCAAAACTAAACTTACGTGTCTCTTCAAACAAAGCTCTATATTTGTTCTTTGTTCTCCTTCTATATTCTTTCATTGTTCTCTTCAGGCAAGGATGAAAGAGGTGAAAAACTGCATTGATGCCACAACGTATTTCATTTGTAAAACAATGAATGTTTTTGGCTTTTCCCCCCCCTTTTACATCTGAGAATCTGCCTTTCCAACTGATAAATGCTGCTACGGTATGTATAAGAATAATTAGAACCTTACAAAACTAAGCAGAGCCCAAATTTGGTTCCTTTTTTTTCTTCTCTCACTTTCCAACTCTTCCATCTCCCTTTTTTGTTGCAACAGGAAAATTGAGGCCTACAGGGGTGTGCAGAAAGTCAACGTGATGGTGTGACCGGAAGCTCCACCCAGTTTTTATGGGCATTGTGGCTGCCATCTTACTTTTCTGAACCCTACTCTTCGGACAACCTTGCAGACACCTCAAACTCCAGCCCATGGATTGATCAAGGGTTGTCAAGCAGGGATCCACATTTTCTTGTATTTCTACTGTTTTCTATATTCTTTTAAAATGTTATCATCATCACTGTCAAGATGAAGACCATGAATGTTCTATGGAAGCTGTGTCCCCCTTTAAACTGAAAGAACAGAGGTTTATTCTAGATCTGCAGGGCCAGTTTATGGCTCTTCCAGTTTAAGCTCCTGAGTTAAATCCATGGCTCTTGGAGCAGTTACACAGTTTATGCCTACTAGTTACACAGTTATGCCTACTAGTTTGATTTTGTTTTTTTACACCCCACCCCCGCCCCCATTTTAATCCCAAAGGCCACCTAAGGTAGATGGCTCCGATGCCCTCAGCTTCATTAATGCTGACTACTGGATGAATTTCCAAGTGCAGAGAATTTTTCCCCAAAGCATGGGATTTGAGGAGGGGGTGTGAATGTTGTCCAACTGATGCATGTCCAGAGCCTGAAGAAAAACTCAAGTAATGGTTGCTGGTATTACTCTAAAGTGGCTACCTGGGATTCTTCTGCCTGAGGCCTGCCCGTTGCAGGGCAGGCCCCTTCATCTTCTGACCAAACCACCCTTGAAAAGCAACAGCTCATGTTGGATGGAGACTCCAGAGGCAGCAGGACATTTACCCCTTACGGGCAGAACCATGCTGGAGTTAAGATATGGATCCCCCAATGATCTTGATTCCTGACCTTGGATCTCTGCACACTTTTCCCTTTGGGCCATGCTGCTTGCTTGCCTTCAGTGATCAACTAGCTTCCCTCCTGCTCAGAGTTGGGTGGGTGGGTGGGTGGTCTCCTGAAACTGTCTCTGGCCTTTTGTCCTTAGAACAATGACGGACCTTGTGGGTGCCCTGGAGAGCAGACATGCGACCCTATTTATTCTCTCAGGATGCCTGAAGCCAGGTAGCTTGAAATTCCTACATTTATTCTAGTCAGTCTACCAGCTCTTTGTTAGAACCTGCTTTGCTGGTTTTCCTGGCAGATGCAGGGAACTATTAGCTACCCCTTTCTTCTGGGATGTCGTTCGGTTTCCCAGCCTGCCTTGCCATCCCTGTGGTTTCTCCATCCAAATATGGAGCTTATCTTCTAACGCTAAGGAAACAGGCCTCAAATGGGCATGGTCATTTCTGGAGGCTTCGCTTCCGGAGAGACACCAGAATTATTTAAACAAGATCACAATGCTCTGAAAGCATCTGATCAGAACTATCTGGTTTCTGCCAAATAAAAGGTTAGGATATGAAAAAAAGAGAAGAAGCCTTGACAAAACTTACCAGGCAGTTGAGCTTGGGAAAGACATCAGTGGTGGAGTTAAAGCTTCTCCTTTTAAGGTGTGGACAGCCTGGGATGGTTGAGTGGCAGGCTGAGAATGAGTCTGAGTCTCTACTTGCCTTGAGTCCTGAGTTGGTTTAATCCACCGGTTTGTTTCCGGTTTCATCCATTTCCCCTGGATTCCCCATCTTGCCATGTAAACTTTGCAAATGTCGTAGTTCATGGAGGAGTAATATAAAAGGTCCAGAACCAGCAAGACTACAACGAAAAACCCATAGACCCAAACTCCTAACAATGCACTGTAATTGCTGTAGAAAGAGAAGAGAAAAGCTGGTGTTAGGAAGGGTTTGTTTTCTGCTTCTCTAATTAGGCACTTAAAGCTATGAACTACAGGTAGTCCTCGACTTACAACAGTTCACTTAGTGACCGTTCGAAGTTACAATGGCACTGGAAAAAATTGACTTACGACCTTTTTTCACACTTACGTCCGTTGCAGCATCCCCGTGGTCGCATGATCAAAATTCAACACACTTGGCAACTGACTCATACTTATGATGGTTGCACTGTCCCAGGATGTGACCCCCTTTTGCGACCTTCTGACGAGCCATATCAATGGCAAAGCCAGGTTCTCTTAACAACCGTGTTACTAATTTAACAATTGCAGTGATTCACTTAACAACTGTGGCAAGAAATGGGGCAAGACTCACTTAACAAATGTCTCAATTAGCAACAAATGTTTTGGGTTCAATTGTGGTCGTAAGTTGAGGACTACCTGTATATAATTATTATATTCCAGGGGCGTCAAATTGCCGGCCTGCGGGCCTGTTGCATCATGCGGAGGCCCGTGCCCACCCCAGCTCTGGCAACGCGAAAAAAGTCACAATACATTGTGACACGTCACATGATGCAGCGAGTTTGACACCCCTGTTATATTCCATGTTTCTATCTCTGCTTCTGCTTCTCTTCGTCCCAAAAGTGAAACCATTGTGCTCAGACTATTTTGCAGCCTCCTGTAACATTGTACACATCTTGCCTTGCTTCAACAAGATGATGGGACATCTGCCTATGACAGATGGTACATTTTGATGCCCATCAGTAAGGGAAACCAACACACACGCCGGCAAAATCTTGAATGGATAGACTAACTCACTGCTAAGGCTGGGACAGGGGAAATCTGGACTCTAGGACACCTGGAAACCTTTTAAATGGTATGGTCTAAACCAGTGTTTCTCAGTGTCAGCAAATTTAAGATGAGTGGACTGCAATTCCTAAAATTCTGCAGCCAACATGCGGAATTCTGGAAGTTGAAGCTCATACTTCTTAAAGATTCTGAGGTTGAAAAACATTGGTGTAGAATGTAGATGAATGAAATCTGGAAGTTTTTCTGTCCCATGGCTTTTTTGAAAAGGCAAATAATTTTGATCAGAGAACTTCTTTTGCATCACACAGCCTAAAGAGTGCAGTTCAGAAATCCTATGTTTCAACAATGCGATCCATTAAAAAGAATAATTTGCTGGGGAAAAGACTAAAGGAACTAGAAAACATTAAAGGAAACTTTCTCCCTTTTTTTGTTTTTTTGTTTTGAGACATTCAAGCTGTGACAGTTCAGCCTGAGTAAAAATTACTGAATATGATTTTGCCAATTGCAGAGTTTGGCCTATGAAAAACACAGGTCTGCCAAGTTGCTCCCTATTTTTGCATTCCAATATGTGCCTTTTTATTCAGAGTTCTGCTACTAGCAATGCTTTGTAAAATGTATTACATTATGCTACTAATTGGATTCACAGCCTGCTTCATTTCTGTCCTACATTTCTTCTGTATATGCTGTCCAGAAAGTCATTTACAATTGGACAGGGATGATGCAGAAGGTGGGATTGAAAGCATTTTTATATACATAGTATTGGTTCAATGAACAGAGAAATGTAGAAGCAAAAAAAACCCTCTTGGATCAACTAGTTTATTTTAAATGGAGCTTTTAAGCGATTTCCTCTTTCAAATAGGATCGATTTTCTTTTCAAAAGCTGCCTATCATTTACTCAGTTTTAAAGTCAAACGCATTTCTATTTACAGGAATCTTTTCGCTTCCACTGTAGGAGGGCTTTCTGTAAAAGTTTTATATTGCCCAAGTACAATCAACCAAAGGAAAACATTTTCCAATTGAACTACAGTTAACTCTTTTATCAAGTTGAGTTAGAGAGGAGGAACAGAATCAGCTTGAAGGGTTCCAAGTCTACTAAGTTTGTGGTCAAACAGAAGAAACATCAATGTCATGGTTCCGACTAATGAAACACTTCAAAGAACTTCTAGGTATTGTTTACCCTAAAAGCCTTTATTAACAGTGTAACAGATTGACGGCACTTCATGGATGGATGCCAAATCTGAATTTCTCTTGCTTGCGTCTAACTTTTCTTGCTAAACCCCTCCCTTATTTTGCAGTCATAAGTCACATCTTCCAATTAGCCCGGAGGGCAAAGATTCACTTCCTTTCCTTTTCCCGGGCTTTCCTTACAAATCTCCTCCCTTTCTCTGTCATCTGAATTAACTCTAAAAATATCAGACAGTTCTGTATATTTTGTCAAAGCAATAATATCCTATATTAACAGCGTTGACAATCAATACAACAAAGATGCGGTATTCAGAATGATGAATGGCATTTTCCATATGAATTTGCAATATCTGCTGGTTGGGTGCAAAATCAGACTAAAACAATGAAAAAAGTCCCATGGATCTGGGTCTCAGCAGATAATCAGCACTTAAGAAACCTGGAGTAATCTAGATTAAGGAATCCAGTTTACTATTTGGAGGGGAGATTTTATCCTAGTATATTTTTTCTGATATATTCTGTTACATTTTATGTTACTGATACTTTTATGTTCTGCCTTTTAACTGACATTTTATTTTACTGAAGCTAATTTCTTCGTGTTTTACTTACAGCCATAAAGCATTTTAGAAATGACAAGTTGACTTCCATATTCTTATTCTTCTATCTTTACTTCCCTTCTTTTCCACTGTTATTTTAGTACATCCTCAGTATTATTGGATCTCTCCCTGCCCCCTTAAGAAATTAAGTTTCTCAGGTGGTCACTCAACCAAGACCCACCTTTCTTTGTTCACAAGCTTATATTTCCATCCTGTTTCCACCCTTCAAGATTTTGTAAAGTGCCATAACTGTGGAATATCATACCTAGCTCTGTCCCACTTGCTATTACTGTAATAGTCAATCTTTTGACTACTAAAGTTTGTTAGGATATTCTTTCTACCAGTGTTCCTGTAATTTCATTTGTGTGTAATGTCCTACTGACTTTAAACTTATCTATGTACACGACATATACAACATGTATATTAAAAAAAACCTAATTAAAATGTCTTAAAGGAAGAGGGTATGGCAAGCTAAAAAGAGAGATGCCTACGCTATGCTTCTCTTAATTTCAGTATTTAAAATTAAGTATTACTGCTTTTGCCCCATCTGCAACTGCTGCATATCCTTAATTGAGACAAGCAGGAAATCCCAGTGAGATAGGCTAGGCTAGAGTTTTTCAACCTCGGCAACTTTAAGATTTGTGAACTTATGCTAGCTAATGAATTGGGATATGAAATAGCAATAGCACTTAGATTTATATACTGCTTCATAGTGCTTTACAGCCCTCTCTAAGCGGTTTACAGAGTCAGCATATTGCCCCCAACAATCTGGTCCTCATTTTACCGACTTCGGAAAGATGGAAGACTGAGTCAACCTTAGGTCGGTGAGACTCGAACTGCCGAACTGCTGGCAGCCAGCAGTCAGAAGAATTAGCCTGCAATGTTGCATTCTAAGATCTGTGCCACCATGACTCTATTCACACAACTGAAGGTTGCCCAGGTTCAGAAACACTGGAACAGAGAGGGAAGTTGAGAAAAAATATCTGAAAGAAACCAATAGCAAACCACTTCTGTAGTGTCACCAGCACAGACAACCAAGGAGTTAAACGACTTTAACTTTCATTACAGCAAGAACATGTGCAGACACATATCAATCTTTCTGAAACTATTTAGCTTAATAATTCTCGTTTCATGCTTGTTGGCTTCAACAAGCTGCAGTGGAAGACTGGGTGGATGCGTCGGAGGGTTTTTGGCAAATCTAATTGCACAGTTACTGGTTTTCTAGAGGTATAGGCAGTGGTGGGATTCAGCCGGTTCAGCAAAACCGGTAGCTAAATTTTGCTGCATTTGGAGAACCAGGTGGCTTCCAGAAGTCCAGTCTAGGCCTTGGAGGCCTGGAGGAAGCCTCCCAGGCCTAGAATGGCCTGCCGGAAGTGCATGGATGCCACTTCCAGAAGTCCGTTCTAGGCCTCAGAGGCCTCCCAGGGCTAGAACAGCCCACCAGAAGTACGTGGATGCCACTTCCGGAAGTCCGTTCTAAGCCTCGAAGGCCCAGGCCTGCATTGAATAAGAGAACCGGTTGTTCAGGTACTTGAATTCCACCATTCGGTATAGGCACATGGCTGCAGAAACCTCTACTCATTTTTCTGGAGTAGGATGCTGTGACTGGCACATTGCTGGTGTTGGCTTGAATGACAAATGGGGTGTTTGGATCTGGGTGCTTCAGCAATGGCTTGGCTGTGAATAGGCACTAAGTTTTTCTAACGTTGTTTGGCATTCTATTGTCCGTTTCAGAGCTTGGCTTGGCTTGGCTTTCCCCTCCCATTTAGTCCTTAGAAGGTTAGTGATAGGCAGTGCTATTTGGGCAAATGAAGGGATGAATTGTTGATAAAAATTCACAAACCCCAGAAAGTCCATTTCAACCCCCTCATGGGAAATGTCATAGCCCAGATAGTCAATCTTCTCCTTGTGGAACTCTTACTTAGAGAGTTTTGTGTACAATGGATTTTTTTCAGTATTGCTCTCAGTAGTTTCACGTGTTCCCTCATGGTTTCAGTGTAAATCAAAATATCTGCTGTCTCTCCTTCTAATGCCATGATGACAATCTTCACTTTAGCCAGGTGGGTTGGTAGGTTGGCCCCATACTCCTCCATGTAGGTCCACAACTGGGTTAGGATGAATGCCAGATGTTTTGGGTCCCTGTTGAATTTCACCCCCAGGGCTGAAGGTCTATGTTCTCTCCTCCATGGGAGGGCTGCCCAGGCTAGTGGCGGTGTCTGCACCACTGAAGCCAATCTTGACTGTTGTGCTAGAGCCGGAGGCATGTGACTGCTGCGTTTGCTACATCAGCCAGCTGGGCTGGTGGTGGTGCCGGCCATTCTTGGGCTTCATAGGTCCAGAGCCAGTCAAAAGCATTCCTCAGGAAGTCAACGGCTTGCTCAAAAGTGAC